AGGGTGTGAGACTTAGGAGAGCAAGGGAAGAGATCTTAAGCTACCACAAAGGAGGAGAGAATATCTAGAGAGCTAGAGAGGAGGAGAGCATCTTGAGGCCTTGTATCAAGGTGTCGCTTGAGAGGAAGGCCATAGAAGGAAGATGAGGGCTCATCTCTATATATAAGCTATGTATTCCTCATTTGTTTTGCCTGTAAACTATTTGATTGATTCCATCCCGTGAACGTAGATCCAGTTGGATCGAGCCACATAAACGATCTGTGTTTGCTTGTGTTCTTTGTGTTTCATTTATATGTCAGGAAATACATATATCACAACAAAATTTAAATAAAATTAATTTTAATTTTAAAAATTTATAATTCAAACACTATATTAAAATTCTGTTCAAGCGTTGCATCAATGACAATGTTGCATAACAATTAATGTACAATGTAAAAATATATGTTAAAATAAATTTATCAATTAAATGAATTTTAAGTTAATTTACGATATAATTAAAATTTTATAGAAATTATAAATAATCATGCCATTAACATTTTTGTATGTTTATATAATATTTAAATTTTTAAATAATTATAAAATGTTATTAGTTTAATTTATTGAAATTAAAATACACCTTAACACATAGTGTTCGTATATTATTTAAACAAATATCAAAACTTAAATATAAAAAAAGCATAAATACAGTAAAATGTAATAAAGAAAACTTATCTGCTTACATGTCTAAAACCTAAAATTAGATATTTATATTTTATAAATTCTGGTGTCGTGATGTTTAATCTATGCATGAAAAACTATATTATATTCACTATTTCTTATGTGATATGTTAAAGATTCAATCATCAAGCATATAAATAAGAAAATTTACAAGTCAAATATATAAACATTTAAAAATTATGCCATACGAATGTAATGTCCGTAAACTTTAGGGGCATTTAGATACATACCACACAATTCTAATATATTTATGTACTATGCACCTAAATTTTTCTATTTTGTTGGATCCTAGTTCGCTATTTGTGAATCATGATCCGAGAGTGATCCGAGAGTTAGAGCCGAGTGAATGAAAGAATAAAGAAATAATAGAATAAGCATAGGATCTTTGTCAGGAGAATTGAGGGAAATATCCCTATATTTGTATTTTTATCACATACTTATAAATGTGTGTTTTGTACAATTATAGTAATAAGATAACAGTTATGGAAATCGTTCTTAATATCATTAACGTTTTAATTGATTGTATAAATTTTGTGTCTTGTGTGCGTTATAATTTGAATTTTAACATTGACGACAATTGACTGATCTACTGACTTGAAGTCAACCGACTGAGGCAACCGACCGAGCGACATATGTGCCATCTAGAGCATGTGTGGCCAGTTGAGGTGTCTGGCAGTATGACGAACTTGCTCGGTCTTTTTTGACACGGTTGACCAAAACGATCGGTTGTGAGGTGGTCGTTCAGTCTGAACGCGGGGTTGGTTGGTGGAATGCGATCAACCGGTTTTTTTTTTTCGCGGTGAATCGAGACTCCTATTTCGTTCGGCTCCAGTCTTATAGGGTTCATGGCTCGCCAGCCTAGTTGGTTCGTCGCATCGGTCGGATATTCCAATCATATAAAGTTTTAAGTGAATCTTGTCGCAACTAGCGCTGGGCATCCGACAAGACTCGCTAGAGGGATGATTCACGTCTCACTTTTTAGTGGGTCTTGCCGCTAACAAGCGATAAATAATCTCCGGAACTTAAATCTATAATGGGTTTGAAGACGCGGTTTCATGCTTGGCCTTCAATCGTCAATTAATTGCTTATCTCGAAAGGAGACCATTTCATATTGGACATTCCTTCCATTTGAGATTCATGCTGATATTTTTAATTTATACATATTTATATCAAGTTTTTAACATTGGCCTTATTAATTTTATAAAAGTGAAATATGTCTTTTCATGCAAGGGTTTATAATAATATAGTGTTATAATTATAAATATCAAAATTTTTGGTGGTGGAGATGCAAAAAAATAGGACATCTGTGGTATGTTTGTAAATTTCCCTTAAGTTTAATGACACATATGTAAATTTATACTCTTAAAAGGCTTGGACGTATTTGGATTCTCAAGAGAAAACCGGGGGAATCATAAACTTCTTGGGATTCCAACCAACCCCGAGGTGAATCTTGACATTTTTTTTATTTTTTATGATCCCATCGGGAGAATATCCTCGCTCAGAATCTTTGACTTCGCTATTCTTAATAACAGATCTGAGATTGAGTATCTCAAACGCTATTGACGTTTTCTTTTTTGTTATAATATATGATTCGAGATGTGCATCTCTGACGCCATTAAAGTTTGCTTTTTGGATTGAAAGAACTGTTATCTCCACTGAGACGGTTCATCTCTTTGCCGAATCTCCTTTTCTGAATCGGTTCTCTGTATCTCACGGCAGTTCTCTGCTGGCAACCATGATGATTTTTGGTGATCTTAGTGCTATTAATTGTTTCTCAACATTTTCAGATTTTGAAGCAATCGCCATAAAGTTCCCGTTTTTATGATTTTTAATGCAATAATGAAGATTATAAATAATAGGTTATTTGATCCGGGAAAGTTATGGCCATTAAAGGCGCCATTTTTTTATATATTGGGGACTCGAGAGAGTCTTGGTATCCATCCTTTATTGTGATGAGCTTGCTACGTCTTTGAAGGTTTCCATTCATTTTGTGTGGTTCTGAGATTCGCCTGTGATGGTTTGCTTTGATTTTTCACTATTTTTCTTATAAATCACGAGCAATTCAACCTTATGAATACAGTTTTTGAGTTTTTGTTTGTTTGGTTAGATTTCATGTTAGTTTTCTGAAATTTTTTTGTTGGGAAGAGCTTCTTACATTGATATACACTAGAAATCTGTATTTCTATAAATTTTGAATCAGCTGAAACGATTTGGTTCAGATGGAGTGCTACAAGAAAAAAAATCTCATAAAGTGATTTATTTTTCAGGATTTCTTACGCCTGATTCATTCTTTATAAAGGAGGTTTCAGAGATGTATGTGATTGAGGATAAAGGTGGAGCAATTGCTCTGATGCTTGCTGCCTTGTTATTTTTGGGCACATGGCCTGCAGTCTTGACACTTTTAGAGAGAAGGGGTCGTCTTCCTCAGCACACATATCTTGATTATTCTATTACAAATTTGTTGTCTGCAATTTTAATTGCTCTTACATTTGGCCAAATTGGGGACAAGAAGCCCAACATGCCTAATTTCTTAACCCAACTCTCTCAGGTGATTTATATTTTCACATCTCTGAATCTATTTTTTATGTAAGTTGAGGTCTGCTCAGTTAAAATAATAAACTATGCAAGTGCGCACTCTTTTATTTAATTGAAGAAGTTGGGGTTACAAAGCAGAGAGTAGTTGCTCTGTCTATTGTGGCTGCGATGGAGATTTTGCAAGTAGTGTAGGGTGATAAAGACATATGGGTAATAATGATCAAGAAAATAATTGAGGAGCGACGATTGTCTTGAGATGGAAGTTGGGCAATGGCTATCAAGTAATCTCTAGCGGGCGACAACAGATGGGCGATGGAAGTTGGATGACGGTAATTGTTAATGGTGCTTGTCAGTATTAATCATCAGGCCGAGCTAGAAAAATTTTAGATAGTCTCTCTAATTTTAGGTTTTAATCCACTTTATATGGAGAATGAGATTCTATTTATAATTTTTTAAGTGAATTCTTATTGCTTTGACAAAATCTTTAGAACACTCCAGTGAACTGCCCATGCTGATTCCTTTGGCACTTAAATGTCTTGATGTCTTTGAAGTTAATTGCTCTTTGGCTTATTGAATTCATCCAAACAGACACTAAATTTAATTGTAAGCATGTAAAATTTGGAGCTTGAATTAGATCAATTTGGGTGTCATTATGTTCATCTTGTCAAGATATTCAGACTAATTATAAATTTGCTAAATTTAAATAAGATTGATCCTTAACTTACTTTAGAAGTTGTTAGTTAAAAATTGCATCAAGATTCATGCTTGATTTTAAGAACTTTATGAATCAAAGTGCATTAAAAGCACTTATGACAAATGTTCTTCATCATGTATTCTTCCTTAATCCTGCCATAGGTCTTAGCTTTTTGTTTTAAAATCTCTTGATGGATATATTTTGAATAAATATTTACTTAAAATTTGTGCAGGATAACTGGTCTTCAATATTATTTGCAATGGCTGGTGGAATTGTGCTCAGCCTTGGGAATCTAGCAACACAATATGCCTGGGCCTTTGCTGGACTTTCAGTAACTGAAGTGATAACCTGTAGCATAACTGTTGTCATAGGTCGTATATTAATGGAAAATTTACATACATATCACTCAATTCTTATGTATTTACATATCTAACTGATAAAGTTTGTTGTTTACTCTTAGAACACCTCGATGTCAGGTGTCATAAACTTATGCGGGAAAAAGTGAATTTCACTATTACAAAGTTAATAATGGCATTCTCTTATGTGATGTTAAATTCTTTAGAGCAATAAATTTACATGTGACAGTTTAGATGTTAAAAATGTAAATACATAAGAATTGTGTGGTATGTTTGTAAATGCTCCTATATGCAACCGTTTTTACAGTTTCATTTAGTTTTTGCAAATAATCAGGGGATCGTTTTGATGCTTTTCTTGCTTTGTTTTTGCATAACTAGTTGGCATGTCTGGATTCATATGAAGACCATACTTCTGAATTTCCATTGGAATTAGAATTGTTATTACTGCAATCTCATCACCAAGCTGCAATTATTCGGATATTTCAGCCTCGCTGAATTAACTCAAGTTAATGCAGTGAGAAACAATGAGTTTTGAAACATTACCTAACAAAATAGCTAATTTTACAGGTTTCTATTAGTATTGATGAATGAAACTTTCTTCCAAAATTAAGAATTTTTACCACTTGCAATTGAGAAAGTAGCTCCACTTCACACATGTGAAGGGGCTCTGTATTTTTAGCACACTTTTTAAGGAAAGGTGGCACCTTTTTTTATTTTTTTGAGAGGGGTGGTAAATTGAGCCATTGTGGTAATTAAGTTTGAGATTAGTGATTAGTGTGTGCTTTGAATTTGAGTTTATCTAATTAAGAATATACTGTCTGCCAACTACTTCACAAGTCAAGAAAAAAATTACATTTTGCCTTTTAATTAGATGGTTATAGGTTATCTTCTATAAAGATTTGTTGGGATAACTACATTGTTATTTGCAAAATTAACACCGAACCGATGCATTTACGCATGCAAAATCATACCTTTGAGAATTTGATAATCATGAATTTTGATATTTGAGTGGGAATTTAAAAAAAGGACGAAAATAGGTGCTAGATTTGCAAATAGCAACTTTTTGAATGCAATGTATGTATCCTTCCCTTAAAAATAGAATGCCATTATTAAGAACACTTTTTTTAATTCATTTCATCTCAATTTTTTTGCTTGATCTGACGATCAAATGAATTTACCGATAACAATATATTTATTTATTTTTACATATTTCATCTCAAACAACATATCTCTTTTCTTAAATTACAGGAACAACCATGAATTATTTCTTGGACGACCGAATCAACAAGGCTGAGATACTTTTCCCTGGAGTTGGATGCTTCTTAATTGCTGTTTGTCTTGGTTCTGCTGTACATTCCTCAAATTCAGCTGACAACAAAAAGAAACTAGGCGGTTCCTCAAGCAACTACAAAACCATGAATGGGTATAATTTCTTATATATTTTGTCAGTATTAGCGTTTTGGTACTCTCAAATTAGAAGAATGAGTCCAAACATGCAAAAAAGGAAACATTTTTGTATTCAATTCAGGGTTCTTTTTAACAAAAAATTGAACTTTATCAAATTTGCAGTGTCTATGGAGATAACAAAACTGGCATTATTGAACTCAATAAAGGTACATGATAATCACTCATAATCATGGAAAATAAATGATTTATATCTAAGAAATAGTATCGTCCACTCATGCAGATCTAGAGGCCTCAAATAGTGAGAAAGTGAAAGCCGGCACTGCCGAATACCTGATAGAGCTAGAAAACAGAAGATCGATCAAAGTCAGTTCTTTCAATGCAGTATCAGCCAAAAAAAATGATTTTTTTATATGATATCATATTGCTCAATCTCTCCTATTCTTTCAGGTTATCGGATCAAACATATTTATCGGCCTTGGCATCGTGTTTTTTGCCGGAATTTGCTTCTCCCTCTTCTCTCCGGCCTTCAACCTGGCAACAAATGACCAATGGCACACACTGAAGAAGGGAGTGCCTCATCTTGTCGTCTATACAGCATTCTTCTACTTCTCGCTCTCCTGTTTCATCATCGCAATTACCCTCAACTTTGTGTTTCTTTACAAGCCGGTTTTCGGCCTCCCCAAGTCATCGTTGAAAGCTTATGTGAATGATTGGAATGGGAGACAATGGGCTCTTCTTGCTGGTTTTCTTTGTGGTTTTGGAAATGGTTTTCAGTTCATGGGAGGACAAGCTGCTGGTTATGCTGCAGCTGATGCTGTTCAGGTGAGCACATTCAGTCCAAATAATTGGACTGAAACTTGGCTATTTAAGTATTAGAAGCATTTACATATGCAAAACACAATTCATTTACTTATCTCGCATCTAAACATTCATGTTTACATATGTAACGCTTGGATCTTTAATATCGCATTAAAAATTACAGTATTATCACATTTTAAAAGTGAAATATACTCTTTTTCTTGTACAAGTTTAATGCACCGAAGTGCTATGCATGTTAATATGAAAGTTTAGCTGTGAGATATGTAAATACGTAATAATTATGTGCTAGCTATGTAAATTTCTCCGTAAAATTCTTATAACTATTTATGGAATAAACATATTTTCTCTCTTGAAAGATTACTTCTATCTTTGTGCTTAAAACTTTTGAATTTGGTTTAAAATTTGGGGCATTTACATTCATAGCACATAAGTTTTTGACGCGCTCCATTCTGATGTATTATTAACATATCTCACACCTAAAGTTTTATATTTACATACAGATACTCAAATTATTAATATCACATCAAAAATAGTGCTATGATCACTTTTTACAAAGAAAATGCACATTTTCATGTATAAGTTTAGTGCATCAAAATGCTGTGTATATAAATATGAAAGTTTGGATGTGAGATATGTAAATACATAAGAAACAACTTGATTTAAAACTTGGGGCATTTGCATACATGGCAAACAATTCTTATGTATGGACGTATCTCGCGCATAAACGTTCATATTTACACAAATTGCACTTAAATTTTTAATATCACATAAAAAATAGCACTATTATCATTTTCTTAAAGAGGATGCAATTTTTCATGCATTGGTTCAAAACAACAAAATGCTTATGAACAATAAATCCTTCATTTACTGATGAAAGACATCTATCAGGCTTTGCCTCTTGTAAGCACTTTTTGGGGTGTGGTTCTTTTCGGAGAATATCGAAGATCATCGAAGAAGACATATGTTTTACTTGCGAGCATGCTTTTTATGTTCGTCATTGCTGTCGCCATTCTCATGGCTTCCTCGGGACATAGAAAGACATGAAGGGATATTATGAAGAATATGATTCCCATTGATTGGTTTGTTATGCTGAATTGTGGAGTCTCTTTAGTTCTCAACATTCTTGCATGCAAGTTTGGGGCTTTATAAATATTTTAGTTGTTTGTAAATTATTTTATTTTTCAGACTTTTATGTATTTTTATATGATTCAATATCATCCATTGTAAAGTGTTGAGTCTGCTTTGAATAAAAGTGTATAAATTGATGAACAATAATGCTTCAGATTGAAAATTTGAAATGCATTCAACAGTCCTTTTTGTGTTTATGCATAGTTTTGGTCTTCAGTTCTATAGGAAGCATGAGTATATGGTGATATAATACTCTGAAGGGTCTGCTTGGGGTGGATGTAACTTCTTAAAAAGGTTGTTGCTAAGTTATGGTTGACAAAATAACATTTCAGAAAGCTGCGGTGAGAATTGTAAATGTATATATTTTTTCAAAAAATTAGACAAATAATTTGCTTGCAACAAACTCACACTAATAGGTCAGTTTGAAAAAAATAGTTTTACATCACTGAATTTTCTAAAAAGCAGCAGTTAAGCAGTTCCCCAAACAGAGTTATGTCGACGGTCTGAAACGCAAAATAAACAAAAAGCTATCCTAAATAGACCCTTCATGGTCCCCTTGGATTAAATTAAAATTTTTATCATAATTTTAATTAAAGTAAAAAACACATTTACATATAACACAATTCTTATGCATTTATGTATCTACCAACTAAGATTTCAAATTTACATGTATAGCACTCGTATCTTTAATAAAATGTAAAAAAAATCATTATTGCTAACATTTTTAGAAGTGAAATATACATTTTCTTGTAGAGATTTATGACATCAAAGTGCTATAAATATAAATATCAAATTTAAGTTTGTGGATATGTAAATACATAAGAATTAACACAATACACTTATGAATTGCAAATAAATTGTCAAATCATTAATTTGTGTAAAATGACATAATGTATGTATATATTTACTCATAGAAAAATTTACAAATGCACAATGTTTGTATGTAGTGGCATGTTAGTAAGTGAAACCCTTTTGGATATTGACTAGTCGGGTCAATGGACCTGTAGATTGATGACTCTCAGAGAAATCGTCATATTTTCTTAGGTTGGTATTTACTTTTCTTGTTCAAGATGTCCGTTAAACCGACTATATAAATATAAATATAAGTTAAATTAAAACATAATATTAAATAACCGCTAAATCATTTTGGTAAGATTTGACTACATCAAAATTATTTCATGTTTTCTTAAGATACTTGAGCATATTTTGTTTATCATACTTTTATTGTCTTAAGATGTTACATGCACACAATAATATTTATCATTTTTATTGTTCTTACTGCATTCCTCATTTCTTTGTTTTTTATGTTTTAACAAATAATAGTTATTTAATGAGTTTGATTTATCAAACTCATCCATTAATATTTTTATAGCCGCTTGCCGATCTCATAAAATCAGACTTTACAATTCTAGAAAATTTTTTGGACATTTTTAGCATTTGCTTTATATGTCATGTTTTGTCTTTTGGGTAGTTGTTTTCCTATTTTCATGTTAGTTTTCTTTAGTCACTTTTCTATTTTTCTACCGGTTATATCAATTAAGCTCTTATTTCTTGCATATCATTTTTCTTTTGAGAGTACAAAATAAGTTCAATTCATTTCATCTTGTCTTACGTTGCCGAGATGTACTATCTTCCAGACCTGATTTGTGACATATATCATATAAATATTTGGAGCAATGTGACACAAATATGCGATTCATTAAGCCCAACTCATTCCACCCAAACCCACATAATCTATATCCCAAGAATAATCAGATAATTTCTAGGTTAATTTTGGGTTATTCTTTCTCAAAAAGGATATGACGAAAAATAATTATTTCTATAAATTTAGAATTTAAATATCAGTCAAATAATAATTAGATCAATATGAAATAATATTTTGAGTCAAATTTAAATCATATTGTTGTTAGTTCAAGTGAAAAAAAATGAGTTTTTCCTGCACACTACATTCAATATCTTTCTTTTGCTTTAGGACTCCCAAATCCCATTCATTTTTCCGCTCCACTCTACCGTGAAATCGCCATTTTTCTGAGGGCCAAAGCGCATCACAGCGCCGTCTTCTTCTCCGCTACCCTTTACCGGCGCGATGGATTCTGCTCCGGAGGATCGCCGGAGCCCCCGCGTCGGTTTGGCGTACGACGAGAGAATGTGCCTGCACGCCACACCGGACGGGGAGAGCCATCCGGAAAACCCTGAGCGAATTAGGGCCATATGGAGGAAGCTGGAGGCGGAAGGCATTCCCGATAGGTATGGAGGTTTTTTTTCCCATGTTGTAAGTTTCTACTGAAATTTCTACCTTGAAAGAAGGGATTGTTAGATGAAAACAACCACCTTTCATAAATCTTTTTTGGTTTATCATTTCATCAGGCATCGAATTACTACATTGTGTAAAGTGTAAAAACACCTTCTTATTTAACATTCAGATGTTATTACTAATATTGTCAAACTCTCTTAACATGAACGCTATGTTTTGCATTATCTCCAAGCATTTATTTGCCTTTACATGGCATTATAGCAAAGAAACTGAAATGAGTTATTGATTCCTCCCATGGAAGATTTATCCACCACTCCTAGTATCGACACTTCCTCAATCCATTTTGATAAAACCTTTGATTTCTTATTCTGGCACTTGCTATTCTCATTGTGTATGATCTCAAGGTGCACACAAAAGATGTGTCTGCACGAATTTCAAGATAATCTAACGGCCTCAGTCCAAATGAGATCCCTTTGATGAAAAATTTTAAGGTCTCATGAATCTGATCTATAGAAGTTCACCTAATCGATTGATAGGCAGTCCGACCAACCGAAGGGCTGCTGACTGACTGTTAGTCAGACGACCAAAGGGCCTCCCAAGCCAACAAGCCTCTGAAAGAAACGACCGGACAAAGGTCTAGCACCTCCGCACCATAACAATATCAACGCAAAACTCTCTCGAAAGCTCCCTCGAAGAAATCATCAAAAATCAATAATCAAGAGTGATCGAAGCTCTATTCAAAGGCAATCGGTCTCCCAATCAAGAGCTTGAGACCAGGTCAGTCGACTGACCAAAGACCTGTCGAGCGACATGTTCCGAACGCAGAAGGATCAAAATACCCTATACAACCCCTCTAAAGCAGGGTTAAAACATGTAAGTTTACCTTTTATTCCTCTATCTTCTATAAATAGAGGGATCAAATAATGTATTAGGGGCTTTTTGACCCTTCTCTTGTAAACTCTACTTTCAATATATAAAATGGGCCACAAGAGCTTGATAATACCCCAGTTTGTCCCAGTGGGGTAAGTTGCTATCACTCTCTCATTCTCTTTTCCCTCTCTTTCTCTAATTCTCCTTTCTAGTTATTGCCACTCTATTCCTTGGGAATGCCTCACATGAGAAATCTGGATTCAACACAAGGTTTATTTATTGATTGATTACATTCTTGTCCATCACAAACCTTAAAAACTCATGAAGCTCACATCCCAAATTTTCCTACTCACTTTGGATCCATCAAGATAAGTTTTTTCTGATAGCCGGTTTCATATCTACAAACTTGATTCCATTCATTTTATCATTCCAAGCATCACAATATGCTATGGCCATCATTGTCAACATCTACACCATACTATATTTAGGTAATTGAGCCTATGAAAACTTGGAACCAAATCTAAAGTTATTGAAAAATGATGTCAAAAATTTTGAGTGGTGTCTTAGCTGAAATCTAATTTATTTTATAAAAATTTGACTGAAACACACAACTATCTCTCAAGAAGTAGCACAAATTTTTGGAGCATATATCGTTCTAAAACAAGGATCATGTAAGGACTGAAATAATGGCCTTAATACAAGCTTAATTCATCATTGTTGGTATGTTTCAACCCTTAAATATTCATCATTTTGAAAAAGAACCGTTCATGTTTTCAGACAGTTGATTGAAAAAATATTGGTAGCTTGTGTACCCTTTCTTAAAGGAAGAGCTGTTGATTAGCTTGAACGAACTGGAATATGTTACATTCATATTCACTTTGTGGATGATCTTTGTTCGTAATCATTATATATTTGTATGGTGTTTTGATCAAAGTGTCAAACTCATATTGTTCATGGGTTTCAAACTAAACTTTCTGAGCTAGGTTTATCTTTCTTGTATTCAACAGTTTTTTTTTTTTCTCTCCCAAGTACTAACCCAAGGAGTTTTTTTTAAAATTTTTCAGGTGCGTATTGCTTAAAACCAAGGAAGCTGAGGATTCAATTATAGCATCTGTGCATACGAAGAATCACATAAAGCTGATAAGAAATATCAGCTCTAAGGCATTTGAATTTCGACGTCTTAAGATAGCCTCAAAGTTGAATTCTATTTATTTTAACGAGGGGTCATCTGAGGCAGCCTTCCTTGCTGCGGGGACTGTTATTGAGGTAGATCAACTTTTATCCTAATCTCCTTATTTGGTCATTTTTAATGTTTTCTCAAATTAATCGTTGATCCATTGATCTTAAATCCTGCCTCTTTTATCTGTAAAATGCATTATGTTTCCACCTATAGCTTCTTAAGTCACATTTTTTGTGTGGAATTCCTATACATAGTACACAATTCTTACGTATTTATATATCTCACACCTAAACTTTCATTATTGCGCACATAGCACTCAAATCTGTAATATAGCATAAAAAATAGCACTATTACCACTTTTTAAATGTGAAATATAGCTTTTTCTGCATAGGGTTAAAGCACCAAACTACTATGTATGTAAATACGAAAGTATAGGCGTAAGACATGTAAATACATAAGGATTGTGTGCTACTTATGTAAATTTCCTTTTTTTTTTTTCTTGTAGGTTGCAGAGAATGTTGCCAAAGGGGATCTGGATTCTGCCATTGCTGTTGTTAGGCCTCCTGGTCATCATGCAGAAGCTAATGAAGCTATGGGTTTTTGCCTCTTTAACAATGTAGCAATTTCAGCATCTTATCTCTTGGATAAGAGAGTATGTACATTATTTATTTTAACAACATGAACTTAGCTTCTGATCTTCAGTTCATCTTAATTGATTAGGTTATGTATTATTCTCTTTTGCAGGCAGAATTAGGTATAAATAGGATATTGATTGTGGACTGGGACGTTCATCATGGCAATGGCACTCAAAATATGTTTTATAGAGATCCTAGGGTTCTTTATTTCTCAGTACATAGGTTGGAGCCAACTATCTTTTAATTCTAACATATTTAAATATTGAATAATCAATCATGGTTTATTGATTTATTTCATTATTGTGCTAAAACTCATCTTTAAATTGATCTTTAATCATTCTTAAGCTTACTTAATGTGCTCGACACTATGATATTTTGGCATTGTTTGATCTCTGTTTGTGTAGCTTTTTTTGTTGGGCTTGCCCGCGTTGTGTGGATATATAGGACTTGTAGCAATTAGCGAGGGATATGAGAACAATTTTGATTTTGGATTACTAATTTAAACTTGATCGAGTTTAGTTTTCTATGAATTTGAAAAAAAAAATTTGGATTTAGTCTGAATTAAAAAGTCATCTCCTTGTACCCATACGAGGCCTTAATTTTTTGTTTAAATTTGGTAACCTCATTCACTCTGTCTAGTTGTTCAGCATAAGTCATTATTGGCTAATCTCGCAACATTGGCGATAGTCAAAAGGCGATATGTAAAAAAATTAATTTTATGAAAATTAATTCGCTTTATTGCTCTCTTTTTTATATTTTCTTCAAATTCATGCTGAAACTAGTTGTGAACATTTTATTTTCAAATGGGCTTTACGACTACTATTTCTTATTTTAATTTGAAGAAAGTGAATTGTTCCATTGATTGGTAACTTATGATATCGAATCCTTGAATTATTTTTTTTTCGCGTGAAAGTATATCATACATCTATTTACAAATGCTGGTTCATTAAAAATACGCAAGAAAAACACTTCGTATTCTTGATTCATCGTCAAAGATGGTTTAGAACCAATAGTTCATTATCTAATGGATTTTTTCGTTCTAATACTCTATCCGAGAGTTATAAGTATTTATCAAATCTGTTCTTATCTAACGAAACACTATTGGATCAAATGACAAGGACATTGTTGAGAAAGAGATGGTTTTTTCCTGATGAAATGAAACATTTGATTCATGTAATAGGAGAAAGATTCCCCATTCCTTAGCCATAAATATATGTGCCCATGAGAAGGGGTTTAAGTGGAACAAAATTGGCTGGATGGTAGAGTCGTGGTCCTCGTGGAAATACTTCTTTCTTCCATCCTTTTGGCCTTAGCTCTATGGAACAATACCCTCTCTCTCTCTCTCTCTCTCTCTCTATATATATATATTGATCATGCTTAGCTTGTATTGCCATTGATTTTGCAGGTTTGATTTTGGAACTTTCTATCCAGCTGGTTGGGATGGTTCTTATTGCATGATTGGTGAAGATCAGGGCGCAGGGTACAACATAAATGTCCCTTGGGAACATGGTCAATGTGGTGATGCAGACTATCTTGCTGTCTGGGACCACATTTTGATTCCTGTAACTGAGGCATACAATCCCGACATAATTCTAATCTCTGCTGGATTTGATGCAGGTTAATTTATATCTGTTTTTATTTCAGGGAATTTCATTTTTTTTAATTTAAATTTTGTCTTCTACGCGGAAATAAATTTAATCTATATGCATATCAGTTTTTTAAACTAGGCATGTGGTCTATTTAAGCTTGTTTACCTCAAAGTTTGACATAAATGCCATCAATTTTTTAAAATTAGATATATGCTCCAGGTATATCAATTTTTTAAAGGGAGATTTACATGTACAACACAGAATTCTTATGCATTTTCATATCTAAAGTTTGATATTTACATTTATAACACCTTGGTGTTATAAACATATGCATGAAGGTGTATTTCACTTTTAAAAAGGTAGTTATGGTGAATGTTTAGGTGTTAGATGTGTAAATACATAAGAATTGTGTGGTACATTTATAAATGCCCCTTTTTTAAACTAGGTATATGCTCTATGCATATCAATTTCTTAAACTAGATACAATTGAATTTTGGGGTAGCCATGTAATCAAGTCAATTGAAATCCCAATTCTATGAAACTAGGACTAATCAAATCATCTGCTTGGCCATCTAATTGGGAATTCAATTAATACTACTAAACCTATATTTACAAAATTCAGACGTAATTGATTTTGTTGGACATTAATTTACATAACAAGGATTTTAATTCTTAGTATTAGGTATTAAAATCAATGCCAATTATCGAGTTACAATTGATTTTATAAGCGTTGCAATTGATTTTGAAGTTATTTGATGATTTATGGGACTCTAAATTATTCAAATGATCCGTAAAAAAATATGAGAAAGCTTAACCAATTGGATCCCCATTCAATGTATTACCATAAATTGGCAGAAAGAAACAAAAAAATAAATAAATGCGGCAATGCACCATTTAAAGCCGCAATTTGAACAGATTGTGAGAAATGCAGCGATGTAGGCTACAATATTGGGAAATATTTGTGACAATGCAGCGATGAAAGTCTTTCGCCTGCCTACAGACACTGCATAAATTGCAGTTAAAAACAACAACAATTAATTAAAAATATCCCTAAATGCTTGGGTTGATTATCAAGTACGGAATGAAGAATTCAAGTTTTTTCTCAAAAAATCTTCCTCGCTCGTTGTTTTATGTTTTCAAATCCAAGTTGAACTTGATTGTCAACCACATTTCAATTTGAGGGGAGTATTAGAAGTTTTATTAGAAAATAATTTATTCATGTTAGAGTTATGAGGATTAGATTTATTTCCTTGGATTGAATTTATTTTCTTTCCTATTTTAGATTTATTTGGGAAAAATGAAGACAGTGCAACACCAAAGGCCGCATTATTATAATAGTTCACTGATCAAATCTGCATTAATGGAAATACATGAAAGAGAGAAAGCCTAAAGCTTTGATATCGTGACAATAATTGGTTGATTATTTTATTCTAACATTTGTTTAATATTATGCAAGTCTAGAGAGCTTTTTAATGTGAAACATATACATTTAGGTAATAATAATTACATAGTTATTGTGATAATCTCACTATGGGTTTGATGAGATTAAGGATCTCATGGATCTTGGGTAGCAGTTAATAGAAAAAAATAGAGAAAGGTGAAGGTGCCATTAAGGATTTTTTCCGCCTTTTAGAGTGATGTCTTTGTTATCTTCTTATCATATTTTAACACAATCTAACACAGTTAAACACACTTGTGCAGCCGTGGATGATCCACTTGGCGGTTGTTGTGTCACTCCATATGGTTATTCAGTTATGTTAAAGAAGGTGAGCATCCATTCCATCGGATTACCACTTATTTTGTTATTTTAAAAAAATTTAGGCATTTTTTTTTTATTTCTCATATAACTTTAAGCTTCAACAGATAGTTTGAAGGACTGTATAAGAATGAATGTTTTATGGCTGAAACCCAACTCCACATCCCCGTCATCCTACCATTTGCTTGCTGAAACCCACAAGTCCTTTCCATTTTTCTCACACGAACGAAAGCTCCGGGCCCTCTCCTATCCTCAGCTCGTGCCAGCAACCCCACAGCACCTCCTCCATCCTCTCCTTCTTCCCCGTTCTCGTTATTTTCCAACAACCTCCAAGCACGTGCATCTCTACCACCAGCGATCCTTTCGGTGAACCTATACCCCTTCTACCTCCCATTTTCTCTCTGTCTCTCCAACTTAGCTCTCGCCGGCGGCCCGATTCCGGTCGCAGCACCTTCCTCTCTTCCTATTCTCTCCCTGGACGAACCGAAGAATCCATCTCACGCACCTCCTCAACTGTTTAACTCTGTCCTTTTCTCTACACAGTCCGAAGTCTAAATCAGCAGCCCTTATCCTCTCTCTCCTCCTTCTCCACAGCCACGCCACACTAAGGTAACAAAAGAAAAGGGAAAATGAGATGCAATATTGTGTGATGGTTTTCTTATCATTTTGTATGTTGTTTAGCCAAACTGAAGTTAGATTTTGCTCTTGTTTAGCTGCATTTAGCTTGTCAGTTAAAAGATTAAGGAGACTTTAGGTTGTCTTTTTATTTATTTATTTATTTATTTTTTCACTTTTTGCTTGGCTGCATGTTGGGACTACTTGCTGTTTTGTAAGTTTAGCTTAATTTATGTATGTTAAGAGTGTATTTAATTATCTTGGGACGCCAAGAAAGGATGACGGGGATGTAGAAATCATTAATGGTATATTCACCATTAATGAAAAAATTCACCATTATATTTAAAGATCCTTTTCTCTACACTTGTGCAGTTGTTCAGCGATCCTTTCGGTGAACCTATACCCCCACTCCACCAAATGGGGGACGATGCCTGGAGGCTACCAAAATTTTGCCAAATTTTGGCAGCAAAATTAAAAGACTTGACATAAGCTTAAGTCGAGCTTAAAATTAACTCAAAATGATCCAAATAAAACTTAGACTAAAATTTAAGCATATGCACAATAATTTAGAATGAAAACAAGTATGCAAAAGTATGAGGGAATAAAAGATTTAAAAAGGCTCCAAGCTATCAAAGCAAATGAAACCTTCCCAACTTCAATAGCTTCAAGATATGAATTGTAGTAATCCTTGACCTCCTATTTACAAAAAGAGAAAGGAATTATGTGGGGCCCGCCTTCAATAAAAAAAGTCGCATGCAGACAAAATTAGCCATCCAAATTAAATGCATGCAGATAAAATTCGCTGCCCAAGTTAAATGCTTGTAGAGCCAAAATTCATTGCCCCAATAAATTGCATGTGAAACCAAATGTGTCTTTAAATATGTGTTAAGCTATTTAAAGATCGATTCAATTTAATAAAATTAAAATACCGGCATATGCTTCGACAATGATCCTAACTTTTTAAACTTCTGCGTCTGAGAATATTGCACGGGTAACGGGTCGCCTCGTCTATAGGACAAGATTGTAAGTCCCATACATTAGTCAATCCGATCCTCCTTACATGAATCAGAGTCGACAAGAGTGAGCCCCGTTGGGCCAATCCGATCCTCCTCCTTGTGGGAGTCGACAGGATTGAACCTCCACTGAGCTAGTTTGATACTTCTTCTTACAAGAACTGAAGTTGACATGACTATTGCTATTAATGACGTTTAAGCAATCACTAGCTCGGTGATGGCCGTGTTAATCGTAAATTTCAACGTGAGCGTTTCATTTATAAAATTAAAATATTTTCAATTATAAAAAATAATTTTCAAATGAAAATCATGTCACTTGATGCTTAAAGAGAAAATCTATCCGCCATCCGCAACAGTTTGTAAAGACGAACAAATCTAATATTGACTCGAGCTCACAAAGAGTCAATGCCATATGTATGCTACTAAATTCATGCTCTAAATGAATTTTATGCTAGTAAGGATGTGACCCGAGTCCTCTGTCTGCGTGGTTTTGTCGCGGAATAACACTACAAAGAAGCTGTTATGACCAGAGTCCTTTGATCGGGTGGTTTGCCGTCAAATGCACCATTATATTGCTGTCACAGCTGTAGCCCGTTTGTTTCCCAATGACAGTCTGCCCTTTTGAGTATTGAATCATATGGTATATTCGAAAGGGCAGAAAACCCTTAGTAACCTAAGATCGACTTAGAGTAGTCATCTTAGACAAACGTTCACCCCAGGTTTATGAGGTCCTTTTGGACGAAGTAACCCATGACTTCTGATAAGGATCATTTGGTCAGGTTCGATCGACTACCCCGCTGATTAAGTAGACCCGAGACCATGACAACCTGGGATGACAAAACCATGTAATTTTGATCGGCTTCGTCATCATTTCCTCCACCATCCATTTGAACTCATGGTGATAATTTTTTTAATTTCGAATTTAAATTTGTTGTAACTATATACTAAGTCTGAATACTTAACACCTAATGACTAGCCTTAATCGAAAGTGCTCTCCCGTTATCAGGAGGGATAATTAACCATAGGGGCTTGCGCCTATGACAAACCTCGAACCCCAGATTTTAAAGTCCTCTTAAAATGAGGGCGAAATATCTGGGACGTGTCTTATCTGCCACTCATCTGTTTTTTGAAAATTCAACCTGGAAACTTAACACACACACCATGTTAAGCTCTTGACGAGAGTCCCGTGGCCCTTTTCGAATTTATGGAGCCCACACATATCAAATAAAAAATACCAACATTTTAACTTTTAAAAAGTGGAATACCCCTTTTCTTGGGAATTTACATACATGCACCAAATTCCTATTTATTTTTTTCATATCTAGCACCTGAACTTTACTTTTTACATTTATACCACCCAAATCTTTTCATATCACATAAACAATACCAACATTTTAAGTTTTAAAAAGGGAAATACACCTTTCCATGCATAGGGAAGAAGGTGGCATGCATGTAGAAGTTAAAGTTTAGGTGTAGATATGTAAATACATAAGAATTGAGTGGCATGTATGTAGATGTTCACCTTTTTTTTTACAGATATTAGAATTGAGAAACTTCGTTCTTCGTAGTATTTTGTTGTGAAATCCTTGTAATTGCAGTCAGGGAACTTCTCTATTAGCTGACTACTCCATTGATCCAGTTTCTTTGTTTGTTTTTTAGCTAATGAAATTTGCTGATGGAAAGATTGTCTTGGCTCTCGAAGGTGGCTACAATCTTAACTCTCTAGCTAATTCTGTTTTTGCCTGTGCAAAAACATTACTGGAAGGGAAGCCTGTTGCTGGAAACTTAGAGGGCAGGCCTTTTGAATCCACATGGCGTGTAATCAATGAGGTATAAACTGTTTTAATGATAGGATCTTGCTCGTATCACCATTTTGGGTTTTATATGTTAGATTTCTTCGTTTTTGCTTATCCTGCATTTTTTACTTAGTATTTATTTTAATGTTTTTCTTAATTTTACAGGTTCGTAATGAACTAAAAACTTACTGGCCAGTATTTTCTGTTGATTTGCCTAAAGAGATTCTGATTGCCAACGCCAAACCTTACCAAATTCAGGTGCTTTTCCCCGTTTTAACCCCTTACCTCTTTGTTTTTGTCCATTAGGAGCCAAATTTCAAAATTCCCTTTTACATACCATCTACTTGGATAAAGCAAACTTTATTTACAGTAACTTTTTGCAAATTTGCCGAAAATTCTTAATAACTACCTCATCTTTATAAGTGTTATCCCATCATCTCTCTTGAATAGTCAAATTTTTCTTTATTTTCTATTGATTTAATGACAAATTAATCTCACCTCTATCATTCCATCCACAACCAACTTGTTTGTTAGCGACTTCTGTTCCCTAACCTTAAATCCATAATGCTTACCTAATCTGATTTACTTTTATAAAAAATGATGATAAATCAATGATAAATCATCATAAATTTCCTAATGTTTGTTACTTCTATTCTAGTTCATTATATCCAACAAATTTTAACTTGAAAATTTAAATCCTTACTTTTTATTCTCATTCTTTGCATACTTGTTAAAATGATCTTAAATCTATTGCACCCAAGACGCTAATAAAGTAATATAATGACTTGATGTAAATCATTATGTGTCTATATTGCAAATGTTTTTTCTTTTTTTTTGTCACTCCATAAGTATTTCTAATGTTTATTATTGATTTAGTTACTTCAATGTTCATCAGGAAACTATTTTCTCATTAATGCTCATCAAATACAAGTTCTCTTGCAAAAGCTAAAGATCAAATTGATATCTCAATAACTTTCTGATTTCTTATCAGCTATTCATATCTTCATAATCCTCTTTATTCATCTCATTTCTTAGCCCTCCTATGAACAAAAGTTTACCAATATAGGACATAGTTTTTGCATATTTCCCCAAGGTTAAATTTTGTTAGGTTTTAAAAGTGGACCTTTTTGTATAATTGCTTGAGGAATTGTGTTAGTTTCTTTATTATCATGGGCTGATATGTTCTATTTCCCAAGGGTCAAATATACACAGGGGCTTTAAAAGAGGGAATGATATAAATTTCTTTCATATCATCTTTCACACTAGCATAGGCTGAATAAAAAATTTCTGACCTGTACAAATGTCTAATAAAATTCTGAAATGATTTCATAAATTTGAAATATGAATTTACAAAAGTACCAAGGCACCATAATAGGTTAACTAGCCCGGGCAATATTGATTTTCTTTTGTTGTCAGCATCTAATGATCCATAAGTGTTAACTTCACTTCAAGCTTTGTGATTGCCGAAATTTCTAGATTACAAATGACATCTTTTCAGATATATATATATATATATATATATATACATATTGTATAAAATTTGACCACTTTTAACTTACGATGAACGCCGAATCCCCAGGAGATCAACTCTAGCTCTGATTCTGATGTGGAGAAGGATCCTCAACCTTCGAACGCTATAAACTCTTTCATGAACAATGAAGTTGGGGATTTGATTTCACCTCTTTCAAAATTAAATGTCGACGAAGAAAATTCTGGAGAATTGCCTGCTTTAAGATCTCAGCAAAACCTAGCGGTCCCATCTAAAGGTTCTGTATGCAATAGTTATGTTCCTTGGAGATCATCTTTGTCCAAGGTTGATGTTTGGTATGGCTCTTATGGATCAAATATGTGGAGACCGAGGTTTCTCTGCTACCTTGAAGGAGGAAAGGTATGGTCTTTCTTGTTTGGAAGCTTGGCCATCACGCTTCTTTGTTCTTTAAAAAGGGCTGGCAATTCTTTTATCTTCATTTGTTTATAGGGGCATTTACATAGATACATAGGTAAGGTGCATATCTGTAAAAGTTTAAGTTTAGGTCTTGGATATTTAGATACACTAGAATTGAGTGGTATGTATGTAAATCTTCATCGTTTTTTATTGTTAAAAAAAAAAAAAAGCAACTAATCATAAAATGCCAAAAATGTTTCATTTTAAATAAAAACATAAACAAAATAAATAGAAACATAAACAAAATAAATAAAAAAATTAAAAATCAAAAGCTATCCCAAATGACCCCTTTCATCTTTTAGCCTCCCATACTGGCCATAGAAAAGTCAATGCAATTTTCTGAGAAGCATTTTTGCTATGCATTTCCTTCTAGGTGGAAGGCATGAACAATCCTTGTCAAGGCGCAATGGACAAAACTCCGCCAAAATATATCACTTGGAAATCTGTGCCCCATCGACTATTCTTCACGAGATCTTACACCCATACATGGGGCCATGGCGGCGTTGCTTTTCTTAATCCTCAAAGCAGTATAAATGAGAAAACTTTTATGTGCCTTTATAAAATAACGTATATGCTTATTATTTTGTTCTTCCCTTCACTCCCTAGATAATAATTTCTCAATTTTAGCTATTTTCAGTCTCCATGTTTGATCTAATTAGATTCAATTCTATCTCTGTTTTTTTTTTTTTTTTCAGACTTGAGCAGTTCAACGATATACTGATCCAGGAAAATATTGCTAATGAGCAGTTTGAATCGCCATTTGTGGCTCCTGAAGATATAGAATTCATTGTGAAAAATGGATCTCTGCGTGTAGAATCTCTCAAGGTAGTGTACTATTTGGCACAGAAAAAATGCAGTAAAATCTTCCGCTGTTGCTTCTTTGGTTCTGGACTTGATTGCTCCTAATACATTCAATTGTACTTTTTCTGATATTTTCTGTAAAAACACGGATGAAATCAACTATTGTTCTTCTCATGGCTGCTACTGCAGGGTGGATGGTACTCCAACGTGCTTTATTTGGGAGAACAGGATGGCATTCCAATTCTCACCATGACGTATGACTTCTGCTCTTTGTTTTTTCGGGAATTTACATAAATACCACATAATTTTTATACATTTACATGTTTAACACCTAAGCTTTTCTATTTTTCATGCATTACGCTCAAGCCTTTAATCATATCATAAACATCATTCTTACTAACTTTATATAAGTCTTTTCTTGCATAGGTTTATAGCAGAACACAGGTTATAAATGTAAATATAAAATTTTAGATGTTAGATATGTAAATACATAAAATTTCTTTTTTTAAATTTCAAATGCTTTTTTAACCAGAAATTTTCTCAAGCATCCAACAACAACAACAATAAACCTTTATCCCACTAAATGGGGTTGGCTACAACAATAACAACAACAACAAACAGCCTTTATCCTACTAAGTTGGGTCTGCTACATGAATCCTTTTTCTCTATTATGTCCTATGAAGTATCATATTTTCATTTATTTCTTATAAATTAAGATCATTTCTTGTACAACATCTCCGGGTCATTTTAGGTCTTTCTATATCTTTCTCAACATAAGTCGAATTTAAAATATCTGTCCTCCTAACCAGCTCATCAAATGGTTGACATTTAATACGACCAAACCATCTAAAACGACTCTCTCTAATCTTGTCAGCCACTGGAGCTACATCAACCCTTTCACAGATAATTCATTTCGCATTTTGTCTTTTTAAGTGTAAAGCCACTCATCCACCTAAGCATTGTCATCTCAACAACACTCAACTTAATTTCATGCTTCTCTTTTACAGTCCAACATTCTGCACCATAAAACATTGTAGGTCTCACCACCACCATATAAAAATTTCTTTTTAAGTGCAACAAACTTACTCTTAAAAAAAAAATTATGGATGATGTTTTTAACCATTGGATCTATTTTGAGATAATTGTAATATATGTTTAATTAATCAATTTTATTTCTGCATTTATTTAAGAGTATTCAATAATTAGAAAATCATTCAGACTAAATTTGAAAGAGAACATGTGTAGATGTTCAGCTTCAGATGTGGAGCAATTGAAATCTGGGGAGTTACCTGTTTGTGCTCCATCAAAAGCCTATGAGAATACTCTATTGAAAGGATTATTAGAAGAAGGCACAAGACTTTCCACTGAGGAAGCCATTGGTTATCTCAAGGATGCTGTTACCAGAAAATTATGATTATGAAAACTCCTCACCTTCAAATTGCATTACATTTAATTGTTAGATTGGATATGTGTATGTTATATTATGGATGTGTTTGGATCTGTGAAAGCTTGTGTATTGGATGCTGTTTACAGTAGTTATGTTAATGATGAAGAACAAATCTGCTTTGTATCTTAACTTTATTTTGGTGCTAAGCAAAATTCTCTCTCTCTCTCTAAATTTTCACTCATACCACTTAATTCTTATGTATTTACAATTTTACGTCTAACACCAAAATTTTATATTTTAAATAGACTGTTTTCCCATATAGATCGTGTATGTAACTTTTTAAAAGAAAAAAAAAACAACAGAACAACAATAATGCTTAAAAACATGAATCCTACTTGTTTCAATTCTCGTTCAGCAACATAACACTTACAACAAAATATATATTATATAAAGGGCTGAAAAGCAACATGAAAATAAATATTGTTTAAACATCTAAAGATTAAAGGTGGTTTTACATTTCAATTAGTCTTCATAAATGCTCTAAAATTCACTCTGGAAATCCCAACATTCATTCATCTTTAATCCTTCAGTCTGCTCATTTCACTGCTCATTTGTCTGCTCATTTCAGAAGAATGAGTTAAGTATGATCAGCCTCTTTTGTTTGCATAATCATCACCATCATCATAATCACCCTTGAAATCTTCATTATTTCTCCCACCCTTATTAAAATTGTATCTTCCCCCGCTACCAAAACCACCACCGGCACCTCCACTGCCAAAGTCATCACCACCTCCACCATGACCTCCGCATAACCTCCACCACCACCATAACCGCTGCCACCGTCGTAACCGCCGCCGCCAAAACCAGCACGACGTTCAGTGGCAAAACTAACTCGAACAATGCGTCCATGTAGTTCCTAGCGAACAATCAACAATACAATAATCATTTTCAAAACATGAACATAGATGGCTTATAGTGTGGTTGTTGAAAAGAATAAACAGTATAGTTAAAATGAACTCTTTAATCTATTTTCATATCTATTTCCATATCTAACATCTAAACTTTACTTTTTTACATTTACACCATACAAATCTATCATATCACATCAAAAACATCACCATTTTAATTTTTAATGCATGAGTAAGGTGAAATGTATGTAAAAAAAGCAGTTTAGATGTTAGATATGTAAATACATAGGAATGGAGTGGTATGGATGTAAATCTTCCAAAAAACAATCATCTAATAAAGAAATATGCAGTAAAAAATTGAAGAACCTTTCCATCTAGGGCTGTCATGGCAGCAGAGGCCTCTTCACCAGATGTGAAGCTTATAAAACCAAAGCCTCTTGACCTGCCAGACTCCCGATCAGTGATAACCCTCGCTGGAACAAATTTGATCGAATTTAGTTTAAAAAAATAACCATTTTGATCCCTAAAAACTTAAAAAACAACAAATCATACCGTCAACAACTTCGCCGTAACCCGAAAAAGCGTCTCTAAGGCTCTGATCATCTGTGCTATAAGACAGTCCTATATCCCGGAAAGAGTTAGTAAAACATTCTTGAGGCATTTACATGCATACCACCAGATTCCTATGTATTTAGGCATTGAACATCTAAACTTTGTTTTTTTACATTTTTACCAACCAACCATTTCATATCATATAAAAAAATACCACTGTTTTAACTTTTAAAAAGTGAAATACACATTTTTCATATGAGGTGGTGGCATATATGTAAAAATTGAAGTTTTAGGTGTTAGATATGTAAATACATAAGAACTGAGTGCAATGTATGTAAATCATCCAAAATTCTTACTTGGAGATAGAATTGATGATCAAGTAGGAAGCCAAACCTCCAACAAAAAGTTTCGAAGACGACATGCATCGCACTACCTGATAGATTGATGGGTTTGACGGCACTGCCTTCTTGAGGAGGCTCCCAATTTTATTGGTAAAAGCCATTGCTCAGAGCTTTAACATAAGTTAAGTATCATGATATTACCACAAAATGTAAGCAGTTAAGCCCAATCAAATAGAACAATTTCATAAATTTCAGAAAAAAAATGATAATAAATTTAGAACATTTATGCCCCAACGTGTGAAATAACTGAAGATTATCAAATAAATATTGAGCATCGAGAATGCGTCGGCATGAATCTCAAGGAGACCCAACGGCTCACAAGGTAGAAAAGCATAACTAAGAAAGATAAACCAATAGAAAACCGAGAGGCTGACTTATCTAACCGGACGTAATAGTCTGAACCAAAAGCCAAGGTCAAAGCCCGACTATCGGAGTCAGAGCCAACAAGACTAAAGAAGTCAAAATGGTCCGAGCCCGAACCCATCGAACCAAGACAGGACAGATAGACATGCAAGCCAACCATCATAAGAAAGCTCATTGCATCCAGCTATCAACCTTTCGGTAGATCAGACCCGAGGAAAAACTCAGCTCCTCGGTACCATCAATAATTCCACTGACACCCTAGAGACACCTTATCAAGGATAGAGAGGTAACCATGTCACAAGAAGCCTAAATCATCCATCTGACTCTCCATATTGGGAAGTGAGTTACCTCTTGGGTTACTGAGATTTACTATCTGCCCAATAACCTAACACACTTAGCCAATAAAAGCTCCTCACAAGAAATCGAAGGTCGACAACAAGATTAGATCAGCTGATCGACAAAGCCTAACCAATCGAGTCAGTTATGCCGACCCAAAGTCAATCGAAGGCCGACCAACAAACTTGACTCAATATAGCTGACCGAGCAAACCTCGTCAGACTAAGACCTATTGAGCTCAGCTGACCGAGCCATAAAATAGCCCAGCCATAGGCCCATACATGTAAAATACCTAAAATATCTAATAACTTCCACATCAAAGTGGGGGAAAACATGTAACTTCACATAATGTGCCCATTTTCCTATAAATAGAGCATTATTTTATTAAATAAACAAGACATTTTACTGTTCATTATTGTGCACCCCTCTCTCTCCAGAATCATAAGACTGAACTGTTCATTATTGTGCACCTCTCTCTCTCTCTCTAAAAATGCCATATAAGAGTATCAAGACAAGAACTTCAAATAATTCTCTCACGCAGTAGAATAGTTCATTAAAATGATAAAATTTAACAATTTGCTTACAGAGATAGCTGAACACAAACCTCTCTCTCTCCTCTCTCTATCTCTTAAATGTTTATTTGAGAAAAAAAAGCTATATTTTGCTCATGGATAATACAATTAAGAAACACAAAGATAAACAGTAAAAAAAAAAAAAACATTTTTTATGCAATACATTTTTTATGCAATTCTGCTCTATGCAATTCTGCTCTACATAATGCTTAAAAAGAACCATATTAATTGAATTACAAACTACTTCGAGCAGACAGATCCATCAATTAAAATATTAATATGCATTGAATGGACATCAACTAAACTAGTTCAGCTTCCGCTTGATTATAAATAAGCCTAAACCCTAAAACAATGTTTTTAAGCTCATTCGTTCGTTTCCAGCTAAACAAGCACAGAACTGAGCCGAATCACAATAAGCATGAACAAAATCCAAAATTTTACTCCCTCTCCTCAAACTAAATTCAACCTTAGCAAAACCAATTAAAGGAGAACAACAAGAGCAGCAATACGAAGACACCGAATTCAAAGCAATCATGGTTAAGGAAAGGAGAAATAAGATACCGAAAGAAGTAAGAGTTAGGGTTTCGTTCCCTTTAGGTCACCTCTTCTTCTACCTCCAGCTCGGTTCCAAAAACCCTAGAATCCCCTGGTGTTGTTCGGAGAGGGTTTAAGGTCTGCGCATTCGCCGGCTTTGCTTATTTTTTTTGTAAACTAGAGTGAATTCTGGCCGTCGGATAGTACATATCTCAACCACGTTCACTATTTGATTTTTTTTTTTTCTATAAAAATTTGTCAAATTTTGATTTTGGTAAAAAGGTTATATATTTATAAATAAATAAATAAATAAATAAATAAATAAATATATATATTATTTTTTTCATCTTTTATTTTATTATTATTAATATTTTTTCTAGATTAAACCAAAAAGTATCAAATCCGGATCAGACGTATCTTACGACAGAAAACTGTCTATCAAACTGTCCATCAACTTAACATTTAATGAGATATATGACACTAAAAAATTACATATTTACAATCAACATTGTCATAAATTTGTACATGAAAAGGAAAATTATACTTTTTAAAAGGTTTAATATGATATTAAAAATTTAGGTGATACTGCATGCATAGAGGAATGCTTAGCCGTTAGATTTAAATTTAATGATTTTAATTGCCTTTATTTGGACAATAATGATCTAAATCAAACAATTAAAATGTATATTTTAAAGAGAGTATTTTGAGTGCTTACAATAGAAATATGTAATCAAAATAATCAAAACATAATAATTTCCATGTAAACAAAGAGCTCGTTTATATATATACCCCTCAATTTCTATATATTTACATATCTAACAATCAAAATTTAGTTTTTTATGCAGATGTGCATGCCGTTTTTCTAAAAGTTAAAATGGTGATATTCTTGATGTGATGTGAAAGATTCGGATGATATAAATGCAAAAGAACACAATTTAAGTGTTGAATATATAAATATATAGGAATTGAGTGATATTTATATAAATGCCCCTAGTATTATTTTTGACACATTTTATACATAGCAAACATAAGAAATTTACAGAAGGGAGATTTGCTCATTCATAGTTTTTTCTTTCCTGTTATTTTTGAAAACTTTGAGTGAAATCTTCAACTTCGATGAAACTCCAATTAACACCTGAAGCCACCAACAGCACAGCATCAATCTCCAACAATACCTGCTGGAGATTTATATTGTAAACACAATGAATAAGACACATTCTGCCTACAAAGAGGTAATCAATGCCAATATATAAAAAAAAAAAAGAAAGAAATGCAAATATTATTTGCATGAATGACCTTCAGGGCTGCCTAGACAGCTCCACAAGCCGAAAAATCTGACAAGTTAGTCTTCGGAGGCACTCAAACCATTTCTACTGAGTGTTTGAATTATAGCCTCCAATACTTTGATGTCACCATCTCTCTTAGATATCTCCTCTTGCTTTCTGCGCAACTCCTCCATATGTAGCTCAAACACCTCTGAAATTTTACAGACAAATAAGCAGTTTTTGTTATCAACGATAGTTGCAAAATCTACTACTAATAGAAAAGCTGACGGATTCGTTTTGGCACGTATTAAAAGAGTCCAGCGAGTAAATTGACATTTTTATAGGCTTGGAGGTTAAAATGACCCTCTATACAGAGACCAAAGACCATTTTGACACTCCTCTCTTTTCTTCCCCATAGATATGATTTGCATCCACTTCCGATCAATTGCATGAAAATTTACTCGCATGTTAAGCATCATACTAGGGGTGGATCCAGCGTCAATGACAAGCTAGATGATGCGATCTTCATCTATAAAGTCATATCATGCCTTAAGACTATGGCCTTGAGAGTCAAGAACATCTTGAACCTCATCTTTGCTGGCCAAGTGATGGAGGTTGAGAGAGTCAAATAGAGGCGGGGCGGTGAGAGCTTGTGGCATGGGTGGAGAGGGTATTGTTGAAGTGGGGAGATTTGGTGACTTGAAATACTGAGTTGGATTGTTGGTGATTTGAACGAACTTAGACACGGCTTGCATAGGGAGATCAATCTTTTGGATCATGCACTTGCTCTCACATTCATTTTGATGCACACAAGTAATCCTTCAGAATTACGTGCCAAAATAGTCCCCTAATTATTTACATGGATTTTAATCTCATTCTATAAAAGTGTCAAATTAGTCGCCATACACTCACCGACCTATGTTGAATATCTGTTTTTTTTAAGAAAAACACTTTTTGATTTTCATATTTAATACGCTTTACTTGAGTTAAATTTTTACATTTAATAAAGTTTAAAAATTACAACAGTGACAGGAATAAAGAAAATGACTAACTTCGACATGAAGCCACCCTTGTTGTGTCAAATCACAAAATCATGACTAGAGCCTGCCAGTCCCGCACATCTTCGCGAATAGTTTTAAGATAGAAAAAGGTCATGTTATTTTAGACGGTCATGTTATTTTAGACCATTTTGTACTTCACAAGTTAGGTTAACATCCTCAAAAATTAAAAAAAAAAAGCTTAAATAAACGGAATCTCAGGGGAAGCAAGTTCACGACAAGTGTGAATTTGTTATGAATTCATGTCCTACTCGGCAAAATATAAATTTTATTCCCTGAAAGGCATGCTTATATAAAAGGAATGATAAAAAGGAGTAATTTAATATTGGAAACTTTACATATATACCACTCTTCCTATGGATTCACATATCTAGCACCTAAACTTCAATTCTAACATATATGCCATCTTACCTACACAAAAAAGGTGTACTACACATTTTTAAAAATTAAAATAGTGGTATTTTTTATGTGGTAAGAAAGATTTGAGTGGTATAAATGTATAAAGTAAATGTTAGTGTTAGATATATAAATATATAGGAATTGGGTGGCATGTGTGCATGCCCGCATGCCCCTTCAATATTTCAGCAAACATAAAGTATAAGTAAGCCCGAGGGAGCCACATACTGAATATTATAGCACATATCCTTAAGAATCCAATAATTGTGTAGAAAATAGCACAGACAGCTGTACATACTCGTAGTGTTTTCCAACTCTCTGGTAACATCCTGGGCACGTAATTCAGCAGCTCGCTGTGCTGCCTCGGCTTGTCGTTTCTCCGAACGAGCACGAGCAGCTGCTGCAATTGCGGCATCTAATTCTCGTTCCAAAGTTCCCACCCTCTGCTCTAGAGCCTGATCAAAATTACAAGTACATGAAGAACAGCAGAAATCATATAGAGCTGAATCTAAAATATTTAAAAATTGATGTTTTGATAGATGCATAGAATTACAAAAATCATATAAAGATGCGCCTTCAGAAAGAACTGCAGTTTATTCAAGTAGTAGTCACAGACCAAACTCTTTCTTTACACATCCTTGACATAATAGATCGAGATCCCAGCTTCCTAATTAACCGTAGAACAGCTAATGTATGCATATTCTGACAGTTGCAATTTTTATAAAAAGGGGCCACAATAAATAATCAAAAATAAGAAGAGAAAAAAAAAATGCAATAAAAGTAAAGTCCAATTCATCTCAAATATTAATGAAAAAAGAATCATGTAGTGTATATATGTTCTACTACTTAGATGTTGTCTAGGCGATATGGCTCCAATGTCTAAAGTGTAGTAATTTGGAGCACGCCGTGGTTGATCTCGTATGATGTGTTCCTGCTCAGGCGCATCCTTCCCTTCTATTGCAGCAGACTGCTGGACAAGAAATGATATAAATTGGTGCTCCTTCGGTACAGAACTGACAGTAAGCCCTCAAAACTATAGCTCCTAAGAATGTAGTGTGGCAATGGGCATCCATAACTGCCCCCTGGTGCTTTGATGTAGATGATCCGACAACAATACAAGATCCAAACTTTCATACAACCTCGCTTATCACAAACATTGTTCAAATATCTGTAACAATACATGAGTACTCCAAGGACAATTCCATGCTTGGAGAGATCAATATCATTATTTCTAATGAGCCAAATTTACCCTATCAGGAACCTTGAGAAGTATATGGTAGAAAACAAGGCAATATAGTACTCCTTGTAACACACTACCGTGCCTCGTACACCAAATCTCATAGAAATCGTATTACATACAGCTCTCAGTCATGGTGAATCTGGGTTCTTACATCTCACCATTACGAGAGTCAGAATTTGGATCTTTCATGCTATTGAAGAATGAAGAGGAGGCATAAGAGAAAAGATACAGGATTTTGATTTCTCTTTGGAGCATTATTTATAAGCTTAAAGACAATATTTTTGCTACAGGATAGGACTCACTCGGCAATTGCTTGTGTCTAGAGAAGAGAAAATTTTATATACTATTCAATAAAAGGGCCGTTTATCAATAAGAAAGGAACTACGTGCATGTTCTAAAAGGCAACAAAATGAATATAGCGACAAGCTAAAAAACAAGAAACATTCTTGAAATAGGAAAATTTACATACATACCACTCTATTCTTCTGTATTTACATATCTGAGTTCTAAAATTCAATTTTTACATATATGACACCTTACCTATACATGTAAAGGTGTATTCCACATTTAAGAAGTTAAAATAGTGGTATTTTTTATGTGATAGGAAAGTTTTGGGCGGTATAAATGTAAAAAGCAAACATTGATCTCCAACCAATATTGAGTGTTAGATATGGAAAAACATGAGAATTTGGTAGTATTTGTGAAAATATCCCTTGGACATAATGTGCTCACGCTAGCAGTCTCCTCAAACTAAAGCAAATGAAACAATTAGCTCCAACTTGTCACATACATTAAAAAAAAATAAAAATTAATGTGGGACTAAAGCCTTGTGTGACAAATACTTCCCTCCAGTTGATCTCCAACCTCTTCTCTAACTCCTCACCATCATAATGAGATTGTAACCTCCTCTTCTACCCGGTTATCAGCTCTGTAAATGTAAATAAGAGAGGAACTGTTAATGGCTCATGTAATAAATAATTAAATTCAGCACTTAGTCATCTTTCCTTTAAGCCTCTGCAGTTTGCTGCTTTCCATTTTTTCTATATCTTTCACTTCACATGATATTGGTATCCACATCTGACAACATTTTTTTGCTTCACTAAACTTCGTCTAATGGCAGCACAGTTGACAACTTCAACCTCTTCACCATGGACGAAGCCAACATTCCCCTCTCCTCTACTTTCTCATGGCCAATGCCAAGAGCATAGACACTAAACAGCTCACAGCTAATAACTAACTCATTAGCCGGTCTCAAATCCTGAAATTCTACAAAGAAAATGACTTTGATTGCTTCCTTGATGGCACGTCACCATGTGTATGAAACACTATCGATTTCATTGAAAACGTGCTCCAAACCCACACTACTAAATGGTAACTAATTGATAAAAATGTAGTAGGAGCTCGCTACTCCATATCCCCATCCATCCTCCCATATGATCTCAATCTAGAATCAACAAGAGATATAATATTGACAGTGGCTAAACCGCTTCAATCAATCAATCGTTCAAGTGTTATTTAACTAAAAAATAAAGTATATTACATCCCTATAAGAAATTAGACCGTGCCCCAATATCGTCTTGAGATAATAGCGATCGTTGATGGTATTAATATTGTCTGCTTAGATTTTTACAGCGAATATATGATTGTCTACATCCTAAATGAATTACACCCTCTAATCAATCTTTCCAATGGCCATTTGCATTAGGCTCAAGCCAATCAATCTGTTTGACCTATACTCTTTTATTAGCAGCGAATAGATACACAGTTCCACTGATGCAGCCAAAAACAGAACAAATCTGATTTTGTCTTGCATGCCACTCGTGGTCGGGGAGATCAAAGCTACTCCGAGGGTCGAGGTCGAATAAACAGTGAAACTTGCAGGAGAGGTGGTCCACCCATGAATTCTGGCGGGGGATGGCTGCACCTCATCTACTTCTGTAACATACCAAACCTATGGCAAAGGACACATAATGCTTGTTTGCTCGCATTGATAAAAATTGGATTATTTTTAGACAAATCCAGGCTGCATAGTGGATTATAGACTTTGGAGCTTCTTCATGTTTAACTTGCAACTTAAATCAACTATAACACCCTTCTCGCTATCATTGTCAAGAATGAGCTGTGTTTGGTAATGCTTCTTTTTAAGCTTCTTTTTTAATAACCTTACATCTTGAATGAAGTGAAAATCAATATTATATGATTTGACCTCAAAAGCAACATATTTTTCCATGAAAATTAGGGCAAACACGAATTTTATTTGACGAACACCAAAACAAAACAATACAATACAAATACGCAAAGGATAAACACATACAATTCGAGAGGTAGGCGATCACTCATAATTCCTACAATTCGAGAGGCACAAAATTTCTCAGAAAACCTAAACCTAAGACTCACAACTCAATCTCATGCATAGCCCTAACCCTAGACATAAGAAACCTATTTGTACCCAACAATAATAATAATAAAAAAACTAAATTGTCCTTAAACGTACAAAAGACAAATTTACGCTCAGGCTAGGCTCTAATATTGCTCCCTCCAAAAAAAAAAAAAAAAACACATTGTCCTCAAGGTGAGAAAAAGAGTGTTTCTCCTCCCCCATAGATGTCTCTATTTCTTCATGCTCTGCTCCTCGTCATGCACTATGAGAACTTGTAATTTTGATCCTTGCAACGGTGCCATGGGGTAAACTTCTCATCACACCGAAAACATAACCTCTTCGCTCGCTTCTCCCAAATCTATGTCTTTGTAAGACTTGATTGTTGTTCCCGATCGTGGTCCATTATTCGTGTCCTCTATAGCGTCTTGCCGAACTTCCGTTGTTTGATCTTTTGGTATCGTCGTGGTTATAATAGTTCGATATGACGTTCCATCAGTGTTGCTCCTGCTGGCCTTCTTCATCTGATTCTTGTCCTTTACCATCTAAGTTAGCTCTCTCCCTCAATCCCCGTGGTCATAATAGTCGGAGTGTTACATGTATATCGGGCTTAAGCCTTTCATGAAATTCCTCTACAATCCTGCTTCAGAAATTCCCCACGCTCATCTCGACAATAGTTCAAATTTTTTCCTATATTCCATGAACATCCCCTCCAGAGTCGAGGCATAGAATTGCTAGTGATGTCTCCTTCCTGAATAACTCATAAATGTTCTGACAAACAATGTTTAAATTCATCCCATGATCGGATCAGGTATCTAGCTTTCTTCCACTGAAGCTAGGCTAGGACTTTCCCCTCCAAACACAATCTCACCTTCATGAGCTTCTCCCCTCCACTAACCCATTCACCGTGAAGTATCGCTCCATCCGATACACCCATCCATGTGCATCTTCTCCCTTAAAAATAGACATCTTTAACTTTCTAACCCTATCATCTCCACTCCAGCTTTTCATACCTCCGTTGTTTCCCCCATATATCTAGGGTAAAACTCTCACCATCGATCATAGCCCTCTCCCCTCCTAGCTTCCCTCCTTTCTTCTTCGTGCTCCTCTATAACTCTTGCATAATCTCATCTCCATGTTTCAGCCCAACTTCCTTCATCAGAAATCTCAAATCTACCCCCCATCAGAGCCCTGAGAGGGGGTTTGTGATTGTGGATGTTTTCCTCCTCGTGTTCCTCAGGCGATCACTCATAATTCCTACAATTCGAGAGGCACAAAATTTCTCAGAAAACCTAAACCTAAGACTCACAACTCAATCTCATGCATAGCCCTAACCCTAGACATAAGAAACCTATTTGTACCCAACAATAATAATAATAAAAAAACTAAATTGTCCTTAAACGTACAAAAGACAAATTTACGCTCAGGCTAGGCTCTAATATTGCTCCCTCCAAAAAAAAAAAAAAAACACATTGTCCTCAAGGTGAGAAAAAGAGTGTTTCTCCTCCCCCATAGATGTCTCTATTTCTTCATGCTCTGCTCCTCGTCATGCACTATGAGAACTTGTAATTTTGATCCTTGCAACGGTGCCATGGGGTAAACTTCTCATCACACCGAAAACATAACCTCTTCGCTCGCTTCTCCCAAATCTATGTCTTTGTAAGACTTGATTGTTGTTCCCGATCGTGGTCCATTATTCGTGTCCTCTATAGCGTCTTGCCGAACTTCCGTTGTTTGATCTTTTGGTATCGTCGTGGTTATAATAGTTCGGTATGACGTTCCATCAGTGTTGCTCCTGCTGGCCTTCTTCATCTGATTCTTGTCCTTTACCATCTAAGTTAGCTCTCTCCCTCAATCCCCGTGGTCATAATAGTCGGAGTGTTACATGTATATCGGGCTTAAGCCTTTCATGAAATTCCTCTACAATCCTGCTTCAGAAATTCCCCACGCTCATCTCGACAATAGTTCAAATTTTTTCCTATATTCCATGAACATCCCCTCCAGAGTCGAGGCATAGAATTGCTAGTGATGTCTCCTTCCTGAATAACTCATAAATGTTCTGACAAACAATGTTTAAATTCATCCCATGATCGGATCAGGTATCTAGCTTTCTTCCACTGAAGCTAGGCTAGGACTTTCCCCTCCAAACACAATCTCACCTTCATGAGCTTCTCCCCTCCACTAACCCATTCACCGTGAAGTATCGCTCCATCCGATACACCCATCCATGTGCATCTTCTCCCTTAAAAATAGACATCTTTAACTTTCTAACCCTATCATCTCCACTCCAGCTTTTCATACCTCCGTTGTTTCCCCCATATATCTAGGGTAAAACTCTCACCATCGATCATAGCCCTCTCCCCTCCTAGCTTCCCTCCTTTCTTCTTCGTGCTCCTCTATAACTCTTGCATAATCTCATCTCCATGTTTCAGCCCAACTTCCTTCATCAGAAATCTCAAATCTACCCCCCATCAGAGCCCTGAGAGGGGGTTTGTGATTGTGGATGTTTTCCTCCTCGTGTTCCTCGCATTCAATCTCTTTTCCTTTCGATTTAGACAATGAATCACCAGTCAACCCTTGGATGAGGATTGCAAATTGAACTGCCAGTGGGGTCTTGGATGCAATTTCAATAAGTGGGGTCTACCATCACTACTTGTTTATTGCTCTTCCATGTAAGTTAATTTTCACAAATATACAGTACTTATATGTGGATTTTCTATCAATTGATCTGACATGATCAACATTAAGAAAAGCTTCAACATTGAGAAGTCAATTCCTACTGTATAGTATATCTTTCATAGTTGAGTTCTCGATATCCCTGAAGATATGCAAAATAAATTCTGAATACTTTTCTTTGGGAATTTGCATTTCTTGACTCAAAACTCCCATAATAAAGGAGGTATATGATTAGGTGACGATGAGATAAATCAATTCAACAACCAAACTATAATAACAAAAGGCATCTAAGAAAATCACTCTTTCATAGCAAAATTTTAAGCATCAATATAAATATTGACAAGCTTGGAACCTAAAATATCAATTTCCTTAAGAAGAATAGTGGCATATTTTCTTCGATATAGGAAAAATGTTTTTAAGCACATTCCACTTTCATACAATATGCAAGATGACCCACCTTTTTGGTCAACAAATGCTTCTGTGGTGGTGCTTTCGATGACCCCTTTTAATCATTTCTTGCAAGTAGAACACTATCTACGTAGACTATTAAGATAACCAAGCCATGTAACGTGTTTGAGGAAGATAGAGTAATATGGTGTATTCCTGTGAAGGCCTAACTTAGCGAGAATTGTAAAACTTGTTGAACCATGCCCAATATTTTTGCTTGGCCCATAGATGATCATGTTGATTGTTGAGCTCGTAAATTCTAGTTTACCCCTTAGCAACATCCCTATCCCCAGAGCAACATCCCAAAAGTAAAATATTCAGTGGGTTTACTATATAAATGGTTATTGTGAGATCATCTTAAAAGAATTCATTACTCGTGTTCATTTGCAACAATGACTAATCATAATTAATAGTGACTAACAAATGAATCTGTATGAGTTGAGCCCTGTGCCTGAGGATTTGTCAATGTGGACGATCTCATATACTTTTAAGAAAACTTGGCAACCAAATGTGCATTCTATCTAAGGATGTATTTAAGATTGAATTTGAGCAAATCAAACTTGGCTCAAACAAAAACTACTAAAGTTTAGCTTGAATCAAAACTAAATTATATTTCAAGTTGAGTCGATATGATTTAATTTTGAGGCAACAACAACAACAACAACAACAACAAAACATTAATCCCACCACGTGGGGTCATATTTCATTTAGTTCTAATAAATTAAGATCATTTTTTATACAATAAGCCCAAGTCTTCTTAGGTCTACCTCTGCCTTTCTTAACATAAGTCAAATCTAAAACATCTACTCTCTTAATCGGATCATCAAATGGTCGACGTTTAATGTGACCAAACCATTTAAGACAACTCTCTCTGTTTTATCCGTCACCGGAGCTACACTACTCTATTACAAATATATTCATTTCGCATTTTGTCTCCAATTGTAAAGCCACTCATCCGCCTAATCATTTTCATCTCGGCAACACTTAACTTGGTATTATGCTTCTCTTTTAAAGGCCAACATTCAACGCCATATAGCATTGCAGGCCTGACCACCAACTTATAAAAATTCCTTTCAGTCTAAGCGGTACTTTTCTATCACACAAAAGGCCTGAAGCATTCCTTCAGTTCAACCAACCAACTTGAATTCTACTATTAACATCCCCATCTACATCACCATTGCTTTGACAACAGACCCGAGATATCTAAATCAATCACACATTTTAATAATTTGATCACCCAAAGTGACACTTCTGTCACTAGAGCTACTACCACTAAAATTACATTCCATGTATTCAGTTTTAGTTCTACTCAAATGAAGGTTTTTAGACTCCAATGTAGACATCCATAATTCAAATTTTTTTCTGGGTTTTTTCATGGGTTTTTTTTCTCGTCTTATCCATGAGAAGAATATCATCAGCAAAAAGCATACACCAAGCTACATCCTCCTGTAAATGTCCAGTAAGACCATCCATAACTAAAGCAAAAAGATATGGGCTTAAAGCCGATCCTTGATGTAATCCAACAAAAATAGAAAAATATTTGAACACAAGTAACAACTCTAGTATACATACCTTTAATTACTTGAATATAAGTCATATCAACACCTTTCTTCTCAAAAACTCTCCAAAGTATATCTCTAGGAACGTTATTGTAAACTTTTTCTAAATCAATAAAAATCAAATATAGATCCTCCTTATTATCTCTGAACTTCTCCATCAAACCTTTCAATAAATGTATAGCTTCCATAGTAGACTTGCCCGACATAAATCCAATTTGATTATGAGAAATCTTTGTAATACGTCTTAACCTATGTTCAATTACCCTCTCCCATAATTTTAAGTATGACATATCAACTGAATTCCTCTATAATTTGCACACTCTTGTGCATTCCCTTTATTCTTAAAAATGAGACCAAAATACTCTTTCTTCACTCCTCAGACATCTTTTAAGTTTTTTAAATAATATTAAAGCTTAATAAGCCAAGAAACTCCAAAATCTCCTAAATATTTTCACACTACAATTGGGATATCATCAGGTCCCACAGAATTTTCACCCTTGGTTTTCTTTAATTCCTCCTAAACTTCTTTTTTGCTAATGCGACGGTAAAAATGAAACGTTTTATTATTATTCACGATATTAAGATCATTAAGGTCGATCGTATTTTCATAAACTTCATTAAAAAGTTTATCACAATAACTCACCTACCTATGTTGAAGATCTTTTTCTAAGAAAAATAATTTTTGATTTTTATCTTTAATACATTTTACTTGAGTTAAATCTTTGCTTTTTTTTTCTCTTTGTTTGGCTAGTTTGTACATATATTTTTCATCCTCCTTGATATCTAATCTATTATAAAAATCACCAAAAAAATAAAAATTTAGTCAATCTTATGATAAGGTTCCAAGAGATTTCCTTTGGAGAGTTCTTAAGAAGAAAGGTGTTGATATGACTTATATTTAAGTCATTAAGGATATGTATACTAGAGTTGTTACTTGTGTTCAAACTGGCAACTCAAGCTAGCCTAAAATCCAAAATTTTTTAAACATGAAAAATGTTATATTCTTCACCTTAATACTTTTTTCTGAAATAATAAAGACTAGAAATCACAACACCAAATAATATTTACTTAGTGTTAAAAAAAACAACATATGTGTATATACATTTTTTGAAGTTAACTCCGAGTCATCTTCGGTAAGATCCACCTTGGGCTCAAAATATTATCAACTTTAAAATTACACTCATGACTTGACCTGAACATTGTTAAATGATATGATTTGATTCTCAAGAAAAATTGCAAACCATATTTGAACTAATCAGCAAATCCGTCCAGATAAAAATTGATTATGCAACGCCAGAAGAAAATGCAACTAAATACTACGTGTGTATCCATACACGTTCAACTCAATAATAAAGGAGCCAAATCAAAATAAGCTTTTTCAACTAAACTTCAGCTAGCTCTTAGTATTTAACTAGATGTTTAAAAAACCAAGCTTAGCAAAGCCCCAGCTCTGTCACTTTCTTCTCGTTTACAATTTAAAAACCTTACCTGAAGAATCTAAACACTGCCTACAAATTACTTCTGAAGAATTTTATTCTCTTACCAAAAGAAAAAAAAAAGGAAAATTACATATATAGCACCCAATTCTTATGAATTTACCTATCTCACACCTAGACTTTCATTTTTACACAAATAGCAGTTTATCTATGGATGAAAAGATGGATTTGACCATGAAAAGGTGATAATGAGCGCTTTTTTTCAAATTGATGATATTATGATCTGCTTCTGTGCTTCACACAATACCCACTGCCAATGAATGATACGATTCGAAAGCATGAAACCCTAAAAATCAGCATCGCTGGTCGGATTCAGTGTTTTACAAAAAAAACAAAAAAAAAAAAAAAAAAAGACGTTGAGTGAACGAAAAGAGAAGAAGACTGACCTTGATGTTTCTGGCCTGTTCAGCGATTAGGTAGGCTTTGGAAAAGGTTTCATCGTCCACGAAGACGGCCTTCTTGGCGAGGATCTTCTGCAGCGACTCTAAGTTTGCGCTCATCTCCGATAGGTTGACAATAGCCGCTTTCCACCTCTCGCCACCATCCTTCTCCTTCTCCGCCGCCATGGCGCCTCTTTCTTCACCTAGATGAGTCTGCAGAGATCTCTCGCAGTTCGATTATACTGGTGCGGCATTTAAATAAAGACCAATTCTCATCTATTTACATCTTTAACATCTCTCTTACTTTTTTTTTTCTCCATACATTTATACCACATAAATCTTTGATATCAATTATTTTAAGTAAAAAACACATATTTCCATCTATTAGTCTTTGACGATTGCTTAATATATATAATTCCGAGTACCGCATTCTTAAGTTAATTGTGTAAGAGAGTATTCGAATTCTGACCCGAAGAGTCTTATTCCGTGAATGCTAACCAATAGTCAGCGTAAGCAGCACACTCGTGTGTTTATATATATATAT